GAAATTAAAGGAATAAGAGGAGAAGAAATCAGAAGTGTATTTACAAAACAAGCTAGAAAAATTAGGTTTAACTTTATCTTGGAGATAGGAAAGTATCTTAGAACTAAATGATTTAGAAGCTGAAAAAGAAGATAAAGAGTCAGCAGAAGCAAAAGAGGTAGAACCAGAAAGATTTTATATTTCATGCAAAGAAATATAAAAAAAAAGAAAGTGGAAATTGTCTATATCAGCAAAGAAAATTATTAAAAGCTGTAGGTTAGATGTGTTCTTGTCAAAGAAAACAATAAGAAACATTCTATCAAAAATCCCAGAACCAAAAAGAGGTTTTTTAAAAACACAGAGTATAGACCCAGAATTCACAAAAATCTTTTCTTGAGAGGCTGAGAAAAACAATAAGAAATTAGAATCATATCAGAAAGGTTTTCTTTTAGTAGAAAGACCATTGTTAGCAGGATTAGCCCATTTAAACGCAGTTTAAGAATCAGAAATTCCAAATTATTTTATTAGCGAAGAATTAAAAGTTAAGTTGATCAGTAGAATAGAGGATTCTATCTACTTATTACAGTATGAAGCCAAACATATTAGGGTTTACAGAAGACAAAACCTCGCAAGATCAGCAAACTGGAATAAAAAACTCATTGACGTATGTGAATCAATTGACAACGAAGAAGACAACAGCTGGTTATTTGGTTCTGAGATTAGAAAAATCATTTGTAAAGAGGCTAAAATCGCAAAAAACAATAGTAGAGTAGCAAAAAATAAGCATAAGATTGAGACACAAACTCAAAATCTAGAACGAGGCAGAAGTTCACAAGCCAGATTCTACTTGTGAATATATTGCAGAACAGGTCAAAGATTCAGTCAATCTAGAGGTTCAAGAAACCTTCCCAATTATAACATTGCGAGATCTATTTAGAATCATAAAGAATAAGGAGAAAAAAGAGCTAGATCAGAGAGGCTCAACCAGAGCGAAGGCTCTCAAGATTCTTGAAAAATTAGCAGAAAATAACAAGGGATCAATGATTACTAAATATAATAACAAAAGGTCTGGACTTGGATCTAAAATTTCACCTGGGTCGTATATATTACAAAAGAAAGAAAAGGAAAGAAGATCATCAACTGATTATGAAAGTGATAGAGGAATTCAAATTGAAAAAGGCGATAGTAGAAGTAAAGAATGTGAATCTGATCTTATAGAAATTGAATCTGTTCGTGATAAAACAGAAAAGAGGAAAGAAAAGAGCAGTTTTAGATACAAAAGCATTGAACAATATAATACTATACAAACATTTTAAGATAACAACTATTTAGATAGTAAAGGAGAGTCTTCACAAAAGAGATTGGATGACGAAGTTAGACATTTAAGATGCATATCTTCACTTTCTGAAAGCAATATAATGGTTAGGCTTCGAATGGAAAGGGAGGATATTCAAATTTATAGCAATACTATTTGGTATAATATGTGCACCAAGAGTATTCACAAAAATCATGATAGCAGTCCTGATACCATTACACTCACAAGGGATTCGAATGGTGAATTATATAGACAATATACTAATAATTATTAAGATGAGAGAGAAATCTATCAAACATACCAAGTTAGTGAGAGATCACTTACAGAATCTAGAATTCATGATGAACAAGAAGAAATGTTAAATAACGCACTTCAGACAATAGAAGTTGTTAGAGTTCATAATAGATATGGAGTTAATGAAAATAAAGTTACTGAAAGAGAAAATAAAGAAAGTATAGAAAGAAATCAGATCCTTATTGAGATTGAACCTGATATCGACAAAGAAACTGGTATCAGTTTTGAACTTCTGAATGCAATAACAGAAGCAGTCTTACTAGTAAAATTGAAATACAGAAATTTAATAATAGACCTAAACAGAGCTCTGAAATCAGGTTCGTAAAAAACGAGAATTTAATTATCAAAATAAACAAGCAAGAAACTGGAATAGTAGTTAACATTGATGAGGAAGTGGAATGGCAGAGCAATACTAATTCTATTACTAATGAAAGAAGCCTTCACAGATGCATCCAACACAGGATAGAGAATAACATTAGATAAGCTGAAAATATTCGATTATTGGATGATGCAAGAATTGAAAGAATTGATAAACATAAGAGAGTTGAAAGCGATTGCATTTCTAATCAAAATAAACGACAGAAAATAGATGAACTAAATAATAAGAGTCTGGACAGACAATATGACAACGCGATTTTAGAGAGGAACAGAAATCAGGTGATTTCAAGTTACTAAGAAGCTATACCCCCATCTGATTCAAATATTAGCTAATTAAATTTAACTACAAAATATAAGACCTGATTGAATTACAAACCCTCCACTCTCCCAAAAAATCAGCTGATTTCTGTCTCTCCCCTTATATAAACAAACAAGAAAGAACTTAGTTAATACGTCTAAATTCAATAGTATAAGAGATTTGAGAAATATGTTTGAGATACAAGATCAACTTATAAGCAGAATATATTTCAGAGAAGAAAAATTGGCAAGCAGATATATTGAGTCGCCAAATCATAAATCAGAATGACTAGATGCTAAATTCAATCATTTTCAAAAAAGTTCAGAAGATTTTTCACAAGATCAAGTTGGATTTATTCGCTTTGAGACTAACAAATCAGATGAAATGCTTCTTTAACAAAATATAGGATCCAGAAACGGAGAAAATAGATGTATTTTAGCAAATATGAGACAAATAAACAGCATATGTGAACTCCCTCTAGAAATTAATCCTGAAAGTTCTTCAAGTAGTGAAGAAGCAGTAAATAAAAAAATTAATTCTGATAACACCGAGATGACCATCTCAACAGTAGTTTACAGAAGCATTATAAACATCCATCAAAAAGCCAATAATCTTGAAAGCCAGAATGAACCTCTTTATTTATCTAAAAATACCATCGAATATGATGAACCTGTCGAAATAGGATCATATCGCATGGTTAATATCCGCAAGAATTAGGAAAATCAATAATTTTTAAAAAAAACTAGCGACTTGCTAGAACACTCAGAAAGACAGAAGACAAGAAAAAACTATGACAGTAATTGGAAAAGATTTGAGAGTTGGTGCAGTGAATGGAAAGTAGATTCATAGAATTGTGATTTAGTTATAATAATAAATTTTGTAGCAAACATGACACAGACTGCATCTTTGAATTTATTAAAAGCATATCAAATAGTAATTTCAACAACAAGAAAAGATCTAAAATTGTCAGAATGTGATAAAATTAAACGAATTCTGAAAGTTAAACAAGATTTAGATGATACACTAAAAGACAACATCCTCTGCGCTGAGAAATAGGGGATGTGTTAAATTCAATGAAAATGGTGAGGAAAGCGAGAGAGATTACCTTAAAGGAATTAAACAAGAGAATGTTAATGATATTAACAATAGCAACTATATAGAGACCAAGATCTGACTTAGGTCGAATTTACAAACAGTTGATCCAGTTTGAAGGAGATTCAGAATGGCTAGAAAAAATGTCCTTTATGGTGACTAAACCAAAGGGTTCAGATTTGAAAGATCAGGATGGATTTTAGTGTTTAAAGAAAATAAAAAAATATACTCTGTATATTTAACAGCAGAACTAATAAGAAGAACTGAGAAATTGGTATCAGAATCTCCAGAAAAACAAAAACTATTTATAATTTCATATCTCTATATACCTTTGTTAAAGAGAAAACTTTAAGAAATTGGATAAAAGAAACTATGAAAGAAGCTAAAATTGACATTAGCATATACAAGCCTTACTTAACAAGGAGCACAGCTACCACGACTGTATGAGAAAAGAGTATAAGTGTCAAATTAATCATAAGATCAGCCGCATGGGCAAAATCATCAACATTTAAAAAGCACTACTTCAAGCCAAAAGAAACAATTTCATCTCAGGTCACTAATATTTTATTATCAGAAAAGATGAAAGAAGATGAAGCTACAAACCAACAATATCTAACGGATGACTTCTAAGCAGAGTTCTAATTAAAAAATAGACAAGCTGCGTAGTAGCGAAGTCTATCTGTAATTAGAATGAAGCTTTGGAGAAATCCAAAGGATACTGTACCCACCATCCACCCAGAAAAAAAAAAAAGAAAAAATTGACAAAGTTGAACTTTCATAGCTAGAATAAAGGATAGTGAAGCATTGAGCTTTTATAGTTAATATCACATAATAACGTATGTATAAATGTATATAATATATAAAGATCTACAAATAAAGCTGACTTGGGCCGGAATAGCCACTTAACAGTATCTGACAGATTCCTTCAAAGCTTCGTTTCAATTACAGATAGACTTCACTGCTACGCAGCTCATCCATCCTTCAAATATATAAAGCTAAATCAAATATATTATTGTATTAAAAAGTAAAAAAAGTATATATTTGGTAGATAAAAGCATATATACTCTAAATAAACAATAACTAAAATTGTATATATAACTATATATATTTTTATTCAAATATACTGTATTTAGGATCTTTAAAAACACTAATAATACCTTTGAAGATTAAAAAAAAAAAAAAAAAAAACACTAATAATTCAAATGTTAATAAATTAATAAATCAAAAAGCTTAATTTTATTTCAAAATATTTTACTATTACAGCTACTTTGTTTTTACTTTTTATTAAAATAAAACAAGCTATCATCTTTATTATCTTTAATTATTATACAGTAAAATATAATTTTATCTATTTACATATTTTCTTTTCTTTTATACTGTAACTTCAATTTCTATACTATTTTTTTTTATTTAATTATTCTTTTATATACTTGATATTTTTATTACTTAACCTTTTAACAACTCGCATCTTTATTTTTATCATGTTTTCTTATACCATTTCTTCATCTTCATATATTGTCTTCTGCACCAAATAATTCATCTCCGACATTTTTCTGGCCTGTAATTCCACCGAAGATCACTTGCTTTAGTGTTGTCGGCAAAATGAATGCATTAAAACCATTTAGAATGTATTAGAATGTATTGATCTTACCATAACTGCAAATAGCTGGGTTAAAAAAAAAAGAAAATATTCTTTAATAATTATTATAAGCTTTTTTACTAACCATATAATAATATTCGCTTTTAATAAATTGATCGATAAAATTTTAAAAATCTTGGTGAGCCAATCATACAGTGCTGCGCTATTATAGTATCTAGCATCCATTAATGGTTGCCAAGAAATCAACATTCAAAGTTAATAAAGACTGCGGAATCCAGGATACACGGAGTAGAACATTCTGTTGACACGTTAAAATAGAAGTACATTTGGCGATAAAATGAAATCATCAATTTCCATATTCAATAAAAACATTTTAATTAACATATCAGATGCGTGCATATCGACGCAATTTACAATTCCGGGTGGTTGTACACATGATGAGTCAAAAACTATCATTTTAGTGAAACTGCAGAAATTGCCGCAGTCAACAATTGTTTTATAAAAAAGTGAAAGTGAAAAACAAAACGTTTGAAGAAAACCATACAATCTCTTCTAATTTTTACTAATTTTTACAAGTTTTTATTCAAAACGAATTTAATACAACTTATTAAAAAAAAAAAAAAAACATGACAACGAAAACGAACTCTAAAATGACAAACCCTAACAACCGGTTCTCCCGTTGGGCTTTTGAATCCAACACTATGGAAGAATCCGTCGTTGGTTCTTTTATCTACGAGGCATCAAGACAAGATGAGAAGGAAAAGTCAGGGCGAAAATATTCGTATGGTGACGAATCACGATTATATCCAATCAGCCGATCGTCACCAAGAGCGAATCCGATCCTTTTACGAGATACAAAGATCTATTCCCTTTCACACAGTTATTTTGAACAATTCCTCAAAAATTGGCGACTATTTTTCAGTGAATTTTGAAGATATGACAGTTTATACATCCTCAAATGATTTAACGAACCTTTATATTGGTATAACGGATAAAAATCAAAGTGTAATTGTAAATTTAAATGTTGACGTACATAGAAAATTATTTAAAGATATTAATTGGGGATTTGGAGCGAAGAAAATGAGTATGTTGCCAAATGCAGGAGGACAGAGTGAATTGTCCGAAATACTTTCATGTGAAATTGTGGAAAGGATCTTGGGTGTAGAATTAAACAAAACAGAGGTAAGAATATATTGAAGAATAAAATTTAAAAACTAAATTAAAAATGTACAACGATGATAATAATTGTATAAATTTATGTAAATTATGTTATTATAATTATGTATAGATGGAAATAGAATACTTTTTCATGAATCAACCAATGACCGATTACCTTGTTAGCTTTCGGAATTCAAGCCAATTTTCACTAGGAGTTTCAGTTACTAGAGCATTTTCCTACCGTCGAAGATACACAAAACATGACGCATATCGATTATTAAGTAAAAAGTTAAGTGGAATAAATTCATCAACACGAAACATTTTAAAAGTACGAATGTGGAAACAAATATTACATATATGGTGTCCAAGTGGAAAAGTAGCCAATATAGTACGAAAAGTCTATTCAAAGTTACCTAAAGAATATACATCAAATACTATTGTCATGTTGACTGTGGTGAATTGTAAATGGGTTTTTACAAATAACAAGGAAAAGGCCAAGACCAAGGCAAACTTATTAATAATATAAATATCATTTGTTATATATATATATATTATATATTTGTATTTAGTATTTGTATTTAGTAATTGTATTTAGGTATTTAATAGTATTTAATACAGTAATAGTATTAACACACTCATATCATATATCAGATTAAAAATTAAAGTTTTGCACGGAATTACAGAATTTAAGTATATATGTACAAATGAAAGCTGATCTAACAAGTTTTTATTTACACATTTATGACAACAAAGTAATTTGAACCAGGGATTAAAAGTTGTGGAGAAAGTTGAACGCCCAATTTTAGGGGGGTAACATCCGGTTATAATATGTTCCCCATGTAATTCCGATTGTTATTTTCTCTCTCGGTTGAAGTTGAAATTGTAATGATTATTAACATTTTATCGTATTTATGCACTATACTCTTGAAGGAATAGTTAGTAAGCTCTTTTAATGGGCGCCGTTCTTATTTTAAGTTATGATTCGACGGAGAAATATTTATGCTTAAAACCGATTGAAAAAATTAAAATTCCTTAAATGAAAATTATTCATGCGCGTATTTATGTATATTAAATTGTTTCTACGTAAGAGCACCGAATATATGTATATAATGCTGTAATGTATATAAACATATAAGTATATATATATATATAATATATTTAATATCGATGTCGAGTTCTACGTATGTACGTAATGCTAAATTTCAAAAGTCTAATTTTGGAATCGACCAAAATTGTGAGGAAACTTGAGAGATAACAAGTTTTTTAAATGTTACTCATTTAAATTAAATTACAGAATTAGCAGTTTATGGCACTTTACTAATTCCCCCCAGGTTCCCAATTCTAGCCAATCAGGGTGTAAAATTAAGTGTAACGTGAAATTAAAGAAACAATCACTTTTTATACATTAATCACAAATTCATCACCTTACCTCAAGGAAACTACTTTCTGCGTACGTACTAATACGTACGTACGTACGTACGTACGTAACAATTTTTTTGCAAATCTTTACCCCCCTAACTTTAACTTCAATTGATAAAAAAGAAAGTGATTGTATAGAAAATAGTACGGGTATTCCTAACCAATAGAAATTTGAAGGATTACACAGTAAATTCATAGTGATAGTTGATGGTCATAAGATTCTTTTAGTGTTACAAAACACAAAAGGATCGAAAATATGGATTATTAACATATAAATGGCAATATCTATTAATTACAATAAATTACAATAAATAAATGATCTACAGATTTACGTACTGGTACCAGTGTTAATTTTTCAATTAATATTTATTGTACGGATGCCGCACAAGTTGTAAGCTTTTCTATGCGGAAAAAAAAAAATAGAACCAATTGTGCGCACTACGTATTTATAAAATGTTAATTAGTTTTGTGCGGTGTCCGCGCACAGTCCGCACAGTGAAAAATAATCATTGACTGATATGTACGTACAGTACGGTAACTTATGAAGCATTAGAATTCAAATTTAAAATGTACCCACAAAGTCGTTAGCCATTAGGTAACAAAAATAACTTTTTTTTTTTTTTTTTCAAGTGAAACATTCTTGTTACATTCTTGTTACATTCTTGTCACATTCTTGTCATATTTTTGTGTTTAGAATTTCTCATGGCCCGTTCACAAGTAACAAAATATTTAATATAAAGTAATGAGAATTGTAATGATTTATTTACGAATTTTTAGCATCTGCATACATAGTGTACATAGTGACTACATGCGTATGGATGTACAGTAACTTTTGATTATGTCATGATGACCTCTATGCTTAAAGCACCATCTTTAGTTAACATTCTATATTACTGTATTATAAAAACGTTAACCGAAATACCATATTCACGTGACAATTCATATTATCAAATAAGAATAACCCGACTTATTCCTTCGCGTATCGCTAATACGTAATGTCATGCGTATATGCTATATGCGTAAACGATAATACGTAATGTCATGCATATATGCATGGGATGTCAGATATTTCGGTAGTAAGTTCAACTAATAATACGTATAATACAATTAACAAGCATGAAACACTTGTATTCCAAGGAAATAGGCAATTTATTGTTTATGCATTTAATCAAAGAATGTATCACGAAAGTTTTACGAATACGTTCGATTCCAAAAGACGAAGATGCGCCGTCCGTAAAGTTCCGACTAAAAAGTTAATTATCACAAAAAAAAGAATTCTTGGAATTTTTGTTCTAGTTTTTAAGTTTAAAAAAAGAATTACAAAATTACAAAAATGAATTCACAAAGAATTTTTATTTAAAGTTTAAAAAAAAAAAAATTATAAAAATATTATTGTAAATTATTGTAATTATTGTAAATGAATCTTTTAATATATACTAAACTTTGAATACTGACATGACAAATATAAAGTTGTAAAAGCAATAATAATACATCATGTAATTCAGCCACCGGCTTGCTAATCTGTAAGGGGGTATCAATTCAAAGTAGTATATACATGCGTAGATATTTATCTTATTGAGATTGGGCTACATAGATTTTAGGAGTTATATAGACAGTATATGTACGTTTTTAAAGAATATGTATTGACATATTTGAAATTTACTTATTCTCACGTGTTTTTGAAAAGGAATTTAAATGGATTAGAATTTTAGAGTTTTACACTACAATTAACATCGTTATATAAAAGTAATAATAATTGTAAAAATAATTGTAAAAATAAATTTTACGTAATAACGTAATAACGATAATAGCTGATAGTTACCATATTTATGTATAACCGATATCGGATTAGCATTGAAAAGTCCAAAAAATATAATGATAGATCAAGCTTAAAAATAGGTATAATTACCTATTATATATTCAACAATCGAAAAAAATTCGGAGTTCTCTTTTTACACAAAGAGAAGATTGGAACAACGAAACACGAAATAATGATCTCCCCGATACTTATTCCTCATCCGTTATAATTCTTCCTAAATTCGTTGGTAACCGTTTAGGAGTGCGAAAAAAAAAATTTACAATATTAAAAATATTAAGTGACTCAACATTAACGTTAATGACTCAATAAAGATCCGTCACAGGGTCCATTCATTTAACCGAAAAAATATTTCATATATGTACAATATATCTCGTGTACTTTTGTACTTTGTGATTTATAAAATGTTCAGGATTAGCGTGATTTTTTTAACTATGATTTTTAAAGTTAACTGATAACTTTAATTTTGATGGCTAGAACAGATTTCAGATTTACTAGTGACTACGTACATCCACTTATTCCCATATCTCGTTCGACCTCGAGTAATACAAACTCCTAAAAAAGGTAGCAGCAAATCAGTGAGTATCATTATCCCGGATCAATCAGACGAACATGTGCGAAAGAAAGAAAAAAGTAGCCAAGATTCAGAAACTAATATTTAATCGGTTGATCTTGATGCACTAATTAAAAATGATGGGAATGATCTTTGCGGAAATCTTACATTTTTGCGGTAGCGATAAAATAGTCTAGATCTAGTGTAAATGATTGATTTTTCGTAGTCAAAAAACCTCGTTAATAGTGCTAGTAAGAAACTAAATTTGCGATTTACTATGAAACTTAGCCCTTATCGGCCTATATTATTAATAATTTCACTAGTTCTAGACTAACAAAATAAGTGAAAATAAGTGATAGTTTATCTACATAACAAAATAAGTGAAAATAAGTGATAGTTTATCTATATAACAAATAAGTGATAGTTTATCTACATATCAAATAAGTGATAGTTTATTTCATACCCTCTAAAGCTAATCCTAAAATTTATACCTTCATGCACTTGATTTATTTCTATGTTAAATTCCTTTTTGTATTACTCGCGCAAATTCTTAGTGTTAGCATCTAGCACTTGTCATGTGATCTATAATATAAACGTTTCATCGTAAAGTAAAGTAAGCGTAAAGCGTAAAGTAATCGTAACGGTAATCGTAAAGTAATCATACATTAAAGTAATGGTAATCGTAATAAAAGGTAATGCGATTTTTCTTACAATTTTCTAATGATTGATATATTTTTACAAAGCAAAAAATTACATAATTTTTAAGATTTTAAACCAGACATATATAAGATACATTCGAATACACAATACATTTCTTTTTTTTACATATCAATATTTAGAAATATACAGAGTTTTTTCTTTTTTTTAAAAAAAAAAAAGTAAATTACAAAACAAAGAAAACACAGTAATTAGTTTTGGGATAATATATATTACGACAGACAGATGGAAACGGAAATGGAAATGGAAGGAAAGAAGAGCAAGAAGAATAATAAAGATAATAGTAACGCGGCATTTGATGACTAATGGTATATAGGATGTAATGATAAACACGATTATACAAACAAGAAAAATCTGCAAATGTTTTTTTTTAAAAATGTTTGACAATGTTTAACGGGCATTTCTTTTCATAAAGAGGAGGTAGGTAAGATAGAAAGAAAGAAGAAATTTAAAACCGCGTTAAAGTTACGGAAACGTCTAATTTCAAATTTCAAAAGAATGTTTTTTTAAAAAAGCTTATCATATATATGTATATTAAATAAATACTTAGGGTGTTATATAATATAAATATATATGTTAATATATGTGGAAAATTAATTAAATTGCCCGCCATTCACATATTCAATAAAAAAAAAAAAAACCAAGAGGTAATAATTGAAAGGCAAAGGTAATATAAACAAAGAAAAAAAAAATAAAAATTTACAAAATCAAAAATTATTTATAATAAAGAAATAATTTTTTTTTTAAATTGCTAAATTTACATCATTTACACCCATTTAAACATATTAAAACCCATTTACACTTTAAAAAATTGTCCATTGTTCAATATTTAAAAGTATTATATAATAAAGAGATTTGAGAATTTGAGAATTTGAGAAGTTGAGAATTTGATGATGATTCTCAACATGCTCAACATGCCAAGGCACCTAGTTTATCTACATGTTCAGATAATCTGTCCTGTAATTTTTTTAGATGATCAATCAAACTTGGCATTATTTCAACACTTATTCTAAAATTTTCTCTTCGTTTTGACTTTCCATGATTAACAATACTCTTTCCATCGGCTAATTTTTGTTTTTTTGGATTATGACCACTACTAGAAGTCGAATCTGAGTGATCACTATCATAACGATTTTCTTTATCATCATCCATAATTATGTCATTAACATTTTCTTCACCTAATTCGTCTGCCATAATCTTTTTTAATACTTGCATATGTCTCTCAGAAGGTATTTTTTCAATATCAACTGCGACTCTTTTTCCACCGTCAAATGTTGGTTGCCTATCTTTTGCCACGTCAGAAAGATCAATTATAACCGCTGCTTCTTCCCAATCTTGTTTAAATCGAGATTCTAAATCTTTATATTTTTTACTCTTTTTTTTTGATTTGGTAAATCCGTTTGACCATTTCCTGGTAATCTTGGATTGAATTGTTGAAGAAAGGAATTGCTTTTTGTTACGTAGCACTTTTAATTCTGTTATTAAAAAAGTAAATGTAAAAAAATATATATGTTAAATTATACAGTAATAGTAACAGAAATTTGATAGTAATATATTTGATATATTATAACAAGAATTTGATATATAATTACCTTCAATTTGAGAAACGAAATCCCGGATATTGGTAATATCCATCCTTAAAGAGAATTGAGCTTGTTCAACGGAATTAGGAACATTTATTTCATCGTCTTCCAAGTCAAAGTCATCATCCCAACTTTCACTTGGAGTAGCTATATAAAATCACGTGATTAAAGTGAAACAAAAGAAATAATATAAATATTTAGTTTAATTTATACATTTATTACACATTTTATACAAATGTATTACAAAAAATTTATACTTACGTTGTCGATAAAAACTTTTTGAAAAAGCAGTTGGTGAAAAAGCAGTTGGAGGTAAAGAATTTGAACGATTATGTCGATACTTTGGAGGAGGAGTTACGGATATTGGTAAAGATGGTAAGGAAGACCTTGCTTTTGGAGGGTTAATAAAATCATCACTGTTAGTGTCCCAATCTTCCTCTTCTTCTTCTTGTAAAGTTTCTACACCTCTAGGATTGAAAGAACCAACTGCAGAAGAACTATCAAAAGCTTGAGCTAAAACCCCAGGTATATTTGGAGTAGAACTTATTTTACGATCAATGGTATATACACTTGTGACATCAGAATAAGTAGAAGAAGCATCATCATCTACAAGATTATCAACATGAACCATTAAAGGATGTATAGTAGTCGAATGTAAAATGTTTTTTGTAGGGGAAAGATGTTTATGTTTTGAAAGAAATAATTTAAATCGTTTAAATGGACTTTTTGACGAAGTTGAAATATTGGACATTGAATGCGTTGATAATGTTGATAATCTTGAGGAATTTCTTTTTTTCTTGGCTGGACGACCGAAGACATATCCAACACCGGCAGCCGTTGCAATTGCTCCAGAAGCAAATGCTAACTATTGTTTAAAAAAAAAAAAAAAAATTAAAATTATATAAATATAATATTATATCGATAGTTATATATAATATTTATTCCATTTACTGAAAGATTAATTTTTGAAAAACTTACCGAGCTAATGGCGCATTGCGGCATATCGATTATTATTATTAATTACTATTATTATTAATTTTATATATATATATAATATATATTATTTTTCTTTTTTTCTTTTTTCTTTTTTTTTTTTTTTGAGCAAGCTATGGGTTTTTTTCCACAACCAACGCTGCCAAAAATTAAAAGTACAAAAGAATTAATTAAATAAAAAAATCCAATAAGCTTCGACGCGCTTAAAAGAAGAAATAATTTCTTGAGAAAATTAAATTCGGCCGTTAAAGCTGATGTTTATATATATTTCGATAAGAAAGTCGTACGGGAACGAAAAAAAGGAGAATTTGATTAATATATAAGTAACTATTTTTTTTATTCGTGCGACAATATTTTTTTTTTGTATACGTTCGTAATAATAATAATACTACTATAATAATAATAATCATAAAAACACTAAACGATTTATAGAGAGAAAAGGAAACAATTGTGATTTATACGTCAATTAAACATAACTAAACATGTGTATGTTTAGACAACAGAGAAAATTTTAGCTTATATATAATACATAAGCTGCTTTTTTTTTTTTTATATGTTTCTTATACTTTTCTCTAATGCACGTACATGTCGCATTCCCGAAGATTAAATAAACATAATGGTGATTATAATAATTTTCAAGTTTCACACGACCGTAACTCAGGTCGAGAGTCTTACCTTGTTAAGCAACTTGCATAAGTAAGCTATCGAGCTATCGTCGTTTATAATAAAAAAAAAAAAAATTAATGGAAGGAAGCAAGAACCCACAGCTGCAAAAAAAAAAAAAAAAAAGGAAAAAAAAAGAAAAAAAAAAAGGGGACCAAGAATTGAGAATTTAACGCTTCAAAAAAATTGAAACGAACGCCGAAAAGAGGGTAAACATGAGGTATAAATAGGCATTCAAAAATAAACTCAAGGATAAAGAAAACCCTAGGGGAAGAGAATTTTTTTTATTGATAATATGGATTTCGGATACATTACGTAATAAAAGCCTCAGTATATAGCAGTATATAGCAGTATATAGTATATTAATAGATAATAATGTAATGTATACTGTAGAAATAAATAGATAAAGTAGTACACACACTTTGTTAAACATGTTTGTGTTAAATATGTTTAGTGTGCTAAACATGTATAGTATTAAATATGTTTAGTATGTTAAACATGTATAGTATTAAATATGTTTAGTATGTTAAATATGTTTAGTGATAAAAAAAAAACATAGTAACAAGTGATACGTATTTATATGGCTGAATCAAATGATTTATTTTATAAATAATCAAGAATGAATATGCTGCCAATGACCATTCTTGGACTTCATATGGGCGGATCGGACTCATTTGGTGTGATATAAGAATGTGATATCTGCATTCATGGGCTGAAATTCGTCTAATTGGCTAGTTTCGTAGATCAATTTGTAGATCTACATGTGATTATTAGCCAATCAG